TTTTCATAATTTACAACTTCATTAACAATAAGTTCGGATCGAAACGAATCATAAAGTTTCATTCATGAATATGAATCAGTGATGTTGTGTAATGTTGATCGAAATGCGCCTCATCACGATCTGAACTGAAGAATCGGCTGAAACAACTAAATGGATGGATGGATGAATGAAACAAATTGCTTTGAGTGCGTTGCTCGGCTTGCCATTTTCTGCTGTATCATTTCCATTTCCATTTTGGCTCGTTTTTTTTTGTTTTGTATGCATAGTTATCCTTTTGGCCGCACACACACACACACACACACACACACATACATACACAAACAAAGCAGACGCGGCAGGCAGTGGAAGTTCCCGAGCGGCATTTTCGGTATTAAAGAGCCCCGAGGTGTCGGCTGTAAGCTAATTGGAAGCATGTTCAAAGGTACCGCCACCAAATTAAGTATGAGTTACCAATTTAGCTTTTATATCTCTATCGCACACACAAACACACAGAGATGTACACACACAGATTCACACACTCGCGTTCTCAAACACAGAGCCATTCTCAGAGATGCGGATGCACTGATCGTCTCTTTGGGGGGGCAGCAATTGAGTTGGGAGATGCTGCAACATGAGAGAGCCGTTTGTCCGGTCTCTCGACCTCCTTATTTCTCTCTCTCTCTCTCTCTCTCTCTCAGTCTCTGTCGCTTAACTGGTTTGCAAAAATTGTAATTGCAGTCCTTTGATTGCATTTGTGTGCTAAGCTGAATTGTTTACATTTATCATAATCAGGCAGTTGGCAAAAGTTGGCTGCAAGCGCCGCGGGCGCAACTTTTCTTTTGGCAACGGCGCCAGTTAACCCGGCCAACTGGCATTGCCACATTACAGCAGCAGAGGGGCTGGGCTGCAGGGTCTGCAGTTGAGGCATGATGTAGGTCGACTAAGGGCAACACTTGATCGTGCGAGCTGCAGGGAGTGCTCGCAGGGTAATTGCTGACAATGTGACTGAGCAGGAAGTGAGTAAAGAGTTTAATATACAATGTAATAAAATATGTGTAAAGCATGTTCTAATCGAGAGTGCTGCACGAGATACCCTCTACCCAAAATGAATTCCTTTAAATTATAAAAATGTTGAATTTCTCAAATAAATAGAATTTCAATTTTTGAGTGTAATTAGAATTCAATTTTATTTTTTGGCAATTCATCAAACAAATTTTCTTATCAAATACCATTTTAATTGTAATTCGATTTTTATTGTTTTTTGTAATCTATTTATTTATAGACTCTGCATACTTAATTAAGCAAATTTGGTTTCTTATATGGATTATATTGCTTATATCGATTCTGTTGCTGATGCTCCGAACCAACTTTTGTGGAAAATTGTATATACTCAGAAAAAAAGTCGACCTGAAAACTAAAAGGATTTTTATTTTTGTTTTTATAAATAATCTGTGAATATGCGAAAGGAATTTCTTAAAATTGGAAATGCTTCTATTCTATTCTATTTTTCTATTTTTTTTTTATAAATTTCTTTTTCTATCTGTACCAAATGGTTATAATGTTCATTGTATAAATTATCAAGGAAAGGGAAGCATCGTTATGTACTTGAATAATATTCAAATAGGTACTCCATCTAAACTTCCTGCGCTTGTTCCCTAATCGGTTACATCATTATGCTAATATGAAAAGCATTTCACTTAACTGCACAATGAACTTAAGAGTGTTCCTCAGCTCTTCCAAGAGAAAACGACTTGCGGAGAGAAGAAAAGAAAAGAAAAGTAAAGTAAAGAAAAGAGTAGAGCAGAGCAGAGCAGAGCAATTCAGCCAAGTTCTCGTGAGGTGCGTTCATTAGTCATTTTTAGTTGATTCGATTAATGAGTTTCGACATTTACGCATTTCTGGTACAACAACTGTAATACCCCCATGTTTATGCGCAGTTTGCAGCTCTCGGGTGGTTTTCTATTTGCTTTCACGGATGTGCTAAGAGATTTTCCCATAATTAGAGCCACGGTTTGCCTCAATTTGGCCGGGCAAAATTTCTCAGCTACTAAAAGTAAATGCGACCATTACCGGTCCGTCATTTGCCCCCTTCCCTATTCCCGGACCCTATTCAGCTAATTGCCTCTCTCTCCCACGAATATTCACTTCATATCTCGATCTCTTTTTCGCCTCAACTAACCAATGAGTTGATTTTAATTAAACGGTATCTATTGCAACTTTCGCTCAGCACTTTCAAAACGCATTAATCACGCCCAGTATAGAAGAGAGTCGACATTGGGCTATGCGGTTAGGGGGTGTGGAAGTTGGAGATGGGAGATGGGAGCTGGGATGGTGAGGCAGTCGGAAAGTCACAAAGTTTCTTTATCTTGGGGCATGCGTCGCATTGTCACACATTTGAAAATGAAAATAAATTGCTTTTAACTAAATGCTAGGGCCCTTGTCCAACCCAACGAAATCCCCATCCCCATCGCAATGCTTATACCAATCCCAATCCCAATGTCGAACTCGACCCAATCCCTATGGCAATCTCATGCATATGCAATAGGGTTTTCCGCCTATTTTACGAACTGTTAGAGACAATCGAATCGTTCGTTGGCTGCGCGATAAGCGCCAAATTAAACCGATACCAAAAAACTGAGCTGATCTGGAGCTACCACTAGCCGTTGTTGAAGATCTCTTCTCAAATCGTTTGGTCGGCATCATTAGCAGCGGAATTGATAGCTTGATTATTCAAATTATTAACAAACGATCGGCGGACGGTGGTTTGACTTGTTGGAGTTTTGTTGCTGTTGCTGTTGTTATTGTTGTTGCTGTTGTTGTTGTTGTTGACCAGGCCAAAAGCGACGATTGATGGCGCGCTTCAGTTTTCGAAAAGTGCTCAGGTGCCGCCAGGTCACAGACAGCGACTCCGAGTCAGAGTGGAAGAGTTGACTCGAGTTGAGAGTGAAAAATGTGTGCGCCGGCGGCGGCGTTCAATACCTTTGAACTTGCCCGCAAACGGTAGCCAACGTAAGATAAGTCCGTCCGTTCCTTTTCGAAATATTTAAAAACAAGCAATGGCACTCTCAGACAGAGTGATGGACTAACAAATACCCTATACCTATATATAGAAATAAATACATAATTTGTAGCTGGGCTTGTCTGAATGTTTAAATTTTTGCTTTTTGTTTTAATTAAGATTAATTTGAATATAACTTATCCTATAAATAACAACTAGAAACTTATACTTAAGCACTGTTTATTACCTATATTAATTATTACCAAAAATGCACTTTATTCGCTAAAACTATTCTAATACTTCAGAAATTCCTAATATAAAAATCTCATCTTATGAAGTGTTACTCATAATTTCAACACATGTGAAGCAGATAAAAGTAGCATTTAAAAAAAAAATATACCCTATAGGTTTTAATATGGAATATGATTAATCTAAATATATTTATAATTTAATTTCATGGACACTTGCTCAAATATGATATACCCCTCAAGGAGTAGACTATTACGGGGTACCATGATTAGTAGAAAATTAATAAATATTGAAATAATTTCAGTGAATTTTTGTATGCAAATTGGCGCCGTTTGCCGTGTGGCGAGCTGCAAAACGCGCTCGGCTTTAAACACTTGGAGCGCTTGAATTTTTGTATACTTTATGTGTGTAGGCAACTTGTTTTTTTTTTGTTGTTTCTTTGTTTTTGCCAAGTGATTAAATTAATAATTAATTAGTTGAAATTTTGAATAACGGTTGTAAATAATCATTAATAAAAATTAAAAAAGATTTCTTTTATTTTATATTTTAAGAGCTGCGAACTCGAGATCGTGATCAAATCCACATAGCCAACAAAATACGCAGCAACATTATTAAACCTTTGTCTGACAGAATTTTAAATTCAAATTCAAGCTGAATGCAAACGATTCGAGAGCGATAGCAAATGGACTGCGGAGCGGAGAAATGGTAGCTCTTTGAACTTGTTCCCCTAATGACCTGCGACTTCTGCGTTGTTTGCTTAAATATGCTCAAATTTATTGGCAACAGTTCCAGCAAATTTGCATGCCATAAAATGGGTTAAAAGGTGTATAAAACATTTGCTGAAACCACAAGTCTGCAACAGACACAACGCGATCATCCGATCTAGATCTTTGTTAAAACTAAGCGAATATTTTTGCAGAATAGTATTCTGAGCATTATTTGTCTATAGATTGATACTGCATTTAATATGGGGATCTCTTTATTGAGAGTTATTTTTGAATAATAATATTTGGAATATTGATTGATTTTGCATCGAATACAAAACTCTTTTTTGGTTGGTTTATGTAGATTTCACTTCCATTTTATTTTTAAATTTTAATATGTTAAAATAGTTATTTTTGTATCCCTTTTGGCTTGCAAATCTCAAATCATAAATCAATAAAATCATTTGTCTTTTTTTATTTAATTAAATGGTTGATATATTGAAATTTATAAGTTATTGAATGAATTCAAGACTCTTTGACGAATGCTTTGGTGGCTCTGAAAAGAGCCGATTGGTTTTCTTCGTGTTCACTTTTCGCTGATTAGTTGCAGAGTATTCTGGTCTACATGTGTCGTAGCTGGTGGGATTATTGATGCCCTGCTGGAGGGCTGACCGAACAACGCCTTAGACCTGTTGCATGCCACATTTGTGGCCTGCGTCCATTTGGGGTTTTGATCGGCTTGGCTTTCTGCGCATCTGCCAGATCCATTCGATATTGTCACATCCGTGTCAAATAAAATCGCTGGAGACTCCAACTGCTGACTTGGAGTCTCGCACACTTGAAAATCTCTGCTGCAAGTGCTGGAGGGGAGGGCGAGGGTGGTTCGGGTGAGGGGGTGCGGTAGTGCCCAGCATTGGCCTCCTCTCGCACTTGGCTCAAAATTAAACAAAATGCACAAATGCAACTCGTCTTGCAGTCGCAGTCGATGATTAATGTCGTCCTCAATACTTTGCTCACTTTCTGTACCATTCATCAGGTTGCAAATGCGCTAAACGCATCCCGCCGCCCACTCATTTGGGTGGCGCACTCAGCGCCTGGGCAGCAGCCTGTGCCTGAGCCTGTGCCTGTGCCTGGGCAGCGGACACTGGCACCGGCACGCCCACACCGACGCCCACCATGCCAGCGGCAGCTGCTGCCGCCGCCAATCCGACCATGTCTGCCTCATGCATGGGCTTCTTCTTCAGTATGCTCAAATCGTTGACATTCTCGAGGAATGATTTGTGGGCCGAGAAGACCTTGACGCTATCGAAATCCTTTTTTAGCTCCTCGATGTCGCGCTTCTGTTTGGCACGTCGATTCTGGAACCAGGTGATCACCTGGGCATTGGAGAGACCCAGCGAGGCGGCGATCTCATCACGATCGGCGGGCGACAGATATTTCTGGTAGAGGAAACGCTTCTCCAGCTCGAAGATCTGATGATTTGTGAATGCGGTGCGTGATTTGCGTTTCTTCTTCGGCTGCGGGCGATTCGAGAATATGTCCAGATGCGATTTATCTGAAAGAGCCAAACAGAAATATGACATTAAACACACATATATATATATATATAAAAAAAAGAAAGAAAACCGGTTCGATTAAGTACTCAAAGACGAGTGCTAACAAGCGAATTTGTAAGTCGCATTAGAGATAATTTTTAATTGCTTGGGACGAGCGTTGCTCGGCGAGTGTTAATTAAAGCGCTTTGATTTATACATTTAAATGATTTAATTGCAAGCGCTTTTTCTACATGTCTTTCCATATAATTTTGATGTGATTAATTGCCCCATGTTGTAGGCGTCATTGTCTTCGCATTGACTCTGGCTATATGCAAGTTGCGATCATTTGTCTCGTTTGCTTTCTGATTTATACTTTTTAATTATTGACACCTACAAATCAGTCACAATGGTTCCTATTGTTGCCTGATTAATGAGCAGTCATTGCTGTTATTCAGCTTGCATAATGCTTCCTAGTCTGAATCTGAATCTGAATCTGAGTTCGAGACTAACAATCAGATGAGAGCTGTAAGCGCGGCTCATTTCAAAGCTAATTTATGTGCACAATTTCATATGCTACTGTGAACCTATTTCCCCTTTATTAACCCTCCCCCTTACACCCCCCTCCGGACAACAGCTGTTGCTGTTCATAAATATGCAGATATCGTTGTCGACTTTCATATGTTTGCTTGAACCGGTCGGATTGGAGTGCTTCACGCCCATTCCAATTCCGATTGCTTGTCAAACAAACTAACCCAGCATTAAAAACTAATTAAACGCTTCGAGCCCCGACTAAATTTGTATATTTCAAATGCAAAACGCATTAATTTAGCCTATTTGTTATCTCGAGCACGTTTTGTAACAAAAAACCCATTAGGCACTTGAGTTGGTGTGTATTTTTTTCTCTTTTTTTCTTTAATTTTTTACCTCCCTCTAATATGCGAGTTACAACACAAGCACACACAACAAAAATATACATATATTTATTATTTTTGTTATTATCAGAGACTCATTAAGTAATTTCCATGACTTATCTGACTGTTGCAGAGAGAGAGAGAGAGCGGCATAGGCAGAGAGGGGAGAGGGGAGAGAAATGTGCTGGCCACTTGGGTCCTGTCTCGGGGTCTCAGGTGTCCACTTACACTGGAGAAATGTTCACTTTGTTTAAGGGGTGTATTTGTTTTGGTTGCATTTGTCAGGGTTGTCGTTGTCATCTACTCGGAAACCTTTCACTGCCTACAATATGTTAAAATATGTTGTTTGGTTGAAATTCGACTACAACTGCTAAATGGCCACGCCACATTCGAATTCTGATTTCTTTCTGTGGAATCTATGCCCCCTTGCTGCAACAGTTGCAGTCAGCAATCTTCTGTTTTAATTTGTCCAAATACCAGGAATTAGACTGATCGCCGACAGTGTGTCTGGCGTGGTCTGTGAGAGAGATTCTCAAAAGAAGGTGGACGGTTATTGATGTCCAACTATTTATGAGTAGACAACAAGATCTTAGGATTACTTTACGTAGTCTTAAAAGTATTTTTGATAACTATGTTTTGAAAGAAAAACAGTCAAAATATTTAAACTTTTTTTTGGCAATAAGCATAAAACCTACAATTCCTGTTTTTCAGTTAAGGCCAACTTGAAACTGCATTTAATAATAGCATACAGTTAAATGGAAGCCAAACATATCTGTCATATCTGGCATATCTCTGGATACATATACCGAATGTGTTTTTGAAATGCTATCTATTCTATTGTCAACTCTCGCTGCTGTTGCTGCTCTCCCTTGGAGTGTCAATGATATTAATGTGCAACACTCTCTCAATGATAGTCTAGAGTAGTTTATATGAATATACTATTTATTATATATTATATGTTTATCGGCGCGACTTCTTGTTGCTGATTGACTAACGAGGAAGTGCTGTAAACACCATTCATATTCACATTCACATTCACAGTTGCGTTGCAGTCATAAATATTTCGACTTTTGGTTGAACAGTTTACGATAAATATACATGCAACAACAACAACAGCAACAACAGCAACAACAACCACTGCAATGGGTCTAAATATGCTTACGACTATCAGCTGCAACGGAGACTTGTCAGCCATTAGCTGCGAGCAGCAGCAGCAGCAATAATAATTTAACCAAATGGAAATGGCATGTTAATTGTTGTTAAAACCAATAACAGCCATAAAAAAAAAAACAAAATAAAATAAAAAAACAGTCAAACACTGTTAGGTAATGAACATTAGCAAAGTTGGCCGCTGGCTAATTGTTGCTAATCGTTGCAGAATCGACACGAATGCACACAAAATACAAATACGATACGAGTGTTGAGTGCTGAGTGTGTGCGAGTATTTGCTGTCGATAGATGTACTTTGGTATGCTATGGTTATTAAACAATAATTACCATGAAAACACACACAAATTGAGTGAGTTCCTTGGGGCTAGGTGGGTGGCGTGAGGGAGGTGACTTTTAGCGGTTGGGGCTTGACACTAAAACGCCCACTTAATACAGAAAATGAGTGTAAACATGAACTGTGACTGCGTCGAGTGTGACAGATGCGTTTGGATTCTCGATGATATGGAAAATTGTTGTAATTAGCTAAGGGAATATGCTGCACACACAGCTACAACACTTGAAAAAAAAATGTATGTGCTGCAATTGAGAAAACTGAACTAAATATAAAATTGCCTTCAATGGGAGTAGAGAAAGGAGAAAAATTATTCTATACTTGAAAGGAATTTCTTTTTAAAATTTACAAAAATAATTAAACAAACATACCATTTTCATTTTGCACATACTTTTTTTGAGTGTATCAACGACTAGCCAGTCAGTTGAGCATTTATAAAAAAGTTGTTTCAACTATTTAATTTGTGTAATTTGTTTTGGGCTCTTGGCACATGCCGCCAATTAATTGAGAATACAGACACACACACACACACGCACACACACACACACACACACACACACACACACACACACGCACACACACATAGACAGAGAATTAATCCAAAAGCGATTTGCATAATAAAAGCGAAAGAGTAGAGATGGAAACACAAATCGAATACGGATTCGAAATCGAAATCGAAATCGGAATGAGATTTGAGCATGAGACTGAGAATGGTATAAACGGAACGATCGTTTATATCAATTAGGCAGCAAGAAATACAAAATCTAAAAAGCAAACATTTTTTGTGTGCATTCGTTTCAATTGGAAATTGCTACAAAATTGATGGCATCGAGCTGGACAAAAGGCCCCCCAAAAGACAAAAGCTGAAATCAATTCATTTTCGATGTTCGAGAGCGAACAAATTGAGACATTTGTCAATGAGATATTTATATGCTAATCGATCGAACGTAATTTGAGGCAATTTATGCACACAGCTAATTGATGTTTTTTGTGACATTTACCTTGTGACTCATCAAAGTCCTTGGTGGTCATCTGGAAGAGGGCATCGAGCGGTGTCCCATTCGCCTTGGCCTTGGCCTCTGCGGCGGCAACAGCAGCCGCATTCGCATTGCCTCCCGCCTGCGAGGGACTCGAGGCGGCATTCCCCGAGCCACTGGACGCATGTCGTTCACGTTCCCGTTCCCGCTCCACTTGGCTGGCGGATTGGGGACTATGGCTGCGACGCATGGCAGCACCAGCGGCGACAGCAGCAGCAGCAGCCGTGTCGCGAGCAATCTCCGGCGAACAACAATCGCTGGCCGCAGAACTGGAGCGATCGGAGCCACTCTCCGAGGGTATGATGTCCATGCCCATGTGACGCAACAGCTGCGCCTGGGCATTGAAGTGCTCCTGCAGCTGACGATGATAGTCCAGCGCCAGACGCTGTTCGTAGTGCAGCAGTGCCGATGGAATGAATGGGCGCACTGGCATTGGACCGAGTAGATGATCCCATGGACGCACAATCTGTGCGCCGGGCAATAGCATCGCCGCCGCAGCAGCCGGATGCATGTCCAGCGGCTCGGAGCGTGGCTGCAACACGCCGCCAACGGGGCGTGCCGCCGGTGGTGCCAGCAATGTGCCAGCTGGCGGTGGTGAACTGGACGCACATCGCTGCTTCTCCGAGTGACCCAAAATATCAGCAATCGAGAAGCTCTTGACGCCCTCAATGGCGGACTTTGTGGTGCTGCTGTTGCCAGTGGTTGCAGTAGTTGCAGCAGTTGTTGCTGCTGGGGCAGCTGGTGGACTGGGCGTCTGATCCCTGGTTTCCGATGAGGAGGAGGACATGCGCAGACGCTTCAACGGCTGGAAGTAATCCTCGGGCAATGTGCCGACGGCGCTGCGTGTCAATCCGGCGGCGGCGGCGGCGGCAGCAGCAGCGGCTGCGGCAGCAGCATGTTGCTGCATTAGCAACTGCTGTTGCTGGAGGAGATCGATGGTGCCGCTGCGCGAATGATGCAGCTGCTGCTGCTGATGGTGATGTTGATGCTGGTGCTGAAGATGATGATGCTGGGTGGGCAAAGGGCTTGGAGCACCACCGACGGAGATCTCGGATTCGGCAGGGCTGGCCGGACGCATTGTGGGCGGACAGAGCATTTAAGCACTGGCACTAGTTCTAAATCTTTTACACACACACACACAAACACACACTAAGGACAAGTTCTCACTTTGCTGGCAGTCAAAGCACTAAACGAACTGCGTTTCTTTCTTCACTTTCTGTCTGCGCCTTGTTAATAAATATTTATAAATATATACAGATATATATATATATATATATATATATGTATGTATGTTTATATCAGTATATTAGTGACGTGCAACGTGCAACGATAAACGATAAACGCTAAACGACAACGAAAACGACGCTGATCCAATAGGAGGACCTCTCAACTCGACGTTTCACAGTCAACTGTTCGAAACTAGATTGAAGATTGGTTTGCTAACTAGACACGTCGATATTTCTTCAGTTCTTTTGCTGCCCGCGCCGCTCTCCGCGATGCTCACTTCGCCTCTCTGTCTCTGCTCGTTTGTGTGTGTGCCGTCTCTTTAACATCGTTTGCTCTCTCGTCGTCGTGTCTCGTTTGTCGGTGGTTAAACTCGGCAATCAAATCATAACTGCACAACAAGCGTTGCGCTCTCTACGCGCTCTCTCTCTCTCGCTTTCTCGCTCTCTCGCTCTCAGTGCCAACCAGTTTGCCAGGTTGCCGGCATGCGTGCGAACGAGTCGGCGTACAATTGTGCGCTCTCTTGCGCGCCATCCAATCGGCCAATCGGCTGGCCGGAAAGCGACGCTAACAAAAAATAGCAATGGTGGCGTATACGTAACGGTAATTATGGCGTTCATCATGCGCCACGCGCTCGAGCGAGACAGCAACAGCTGCCAAGATGTGCGCGACACGAGACGAGAACAAAAAAGCAAAAAAGAAACAAAATAAAACTCAAACACAAACGACCAGCGACGCTCCTCAGTTTGTAACGAGACTGTATTTAGTATTTCAGCCTCTGCAAAAGTTTTCACAACTTCGGCAGCGACGCCGACAGAGACTTGGCCTGCCGCTTCCCCTCTCTCTCTGCTCCTTGTGCTCCATGGTCTATGCCTTTTAATGACGCACACCACAGACTATCAGCCGTGCCTCCAGAGCACCGCTGCCAAAAGTCGCAGCAGCAGCAGCGACAGCAATCGTGTATAATTGTCAAGCGTTTGCATTTAATTTGTTGCAATAAAAACGTTTAATTAATTTGAGGTGCCAGCAAATGTGATTTTGGGGGGCAAACTAGATTAACGCATTACACAAATTTCACATATTTTAAAATTACATATAAGGAATTTAAGTAAGTCAGCAAGGCAACTCTGAAGAGTAAATGTAGAATGGAAATGATTTTGAGAAGCAAGCGAAACTAAAATATCAAATAAATATTAGACTTTTAAATAAATAAAGAAATCAAATGGAATTTTAACACTTTTCAAACGATAAAAAAATGTGTGGATATTTGTATTTATTAAAATAATATTGTTGCAACATACAATATATTCAATATATCAAAACACATGTATAACATAATTATGACATTATATTATAGAATTATATATATGCATGTATTTATTGCATGTAAATCGAAATTACTTATTTTAAATCAAGAGTTCTTTATACTTTGAACTGGCTTAAAAGCAGAAAATGTTGACTCTTACTTCTGGAGATTCAAATCTTTCAGCGGACACTTATTGCATATATAATCTTTCAAAGATATTTCAGCGTTAATCTGCATATCGAAATTAACAATCTCTGTCAAAAATGTCGAGATCTTAGCTCCAATTCATGGTCTGTTGTATGCGTCAGCTTCTTCAGTTTATTGTCCAGTTGTCGACACATTTTGTTGGATTTAAACAGATTGCTGACATTTACAGGCCCAGCCGAGCACTTATAATCCTTTTAATTGAAACAAATGCGCATTACTCCAACACCCAAAATGCAGAACAAAAGACCAAACAGAGCACAAAGGGCGTCAGGGCGTCTGAAAACAATAGGCCAAGAGTCTATTAGCTAAACGCAACCAAAAAAAATCAAAAGAAAATCGAAAGAACAAAAACTACAAAAAAAAAAGGAAAATAGAAACCAATTGCCGTCGCTGCAGGATGCTAAATGAAAAAGGAATCGCCGGCGCAGGGGCAGCGACCACCAGCCGGCAGAAGCAGCAGCAGCAGCGGCAGCAGCAGCAGAAGCGCTCGACTTTAGCAGCAGTGGGTCCGGTAGGAGGAGAGGAGAGAGCACGGCTACCTGGCGGTCAGCTAAGACCATTGTTGATAAGGACTAATCACACAAATATTTGAGCATTGGGTTTGTGATTGAGTTTCGCCGCGGCGGCCAAAATAAAGCGGCGCGTTTGATTTTTGACTTTAGCGCTTCTGTATTGCCACAGCGCCTTATTTTATTTGATTTTTTTTTTATAATTCTAATTTCTAATTTGGTTCTTTCTTCTTGGCGGCTATTAGTGTATCTATTAGATACACATATACACAGAGAGATAGAGAGAGAGAGATACGGCACGCTGCGTGGGAAAACCTGCGGTGTTAATTATGCCGGCAAAGTCCTTGAGCAAAGCCAATTTTCGATCAATCCTTCGCATTGGAAAGTCAATTTACACCTTACACCTGTGCCTGCTGCTGCTGCATCGTCTGCTCCCCGTGTGAATGTGTGTGGCTTCATTCACACGCTGATAAATGTGGTTCCCGTTGCCGTTCCTGCGGTGAAAGTGGTGGAAAGGGTTCATTAATATTCAAATGTGCAGCAAATGGCGACGATTTCATTGATTTATCGCTATTGGGGTTAAGGGGCATGGACAACCGGGGCAGCTGCAACATCGCACAACAGTGGCAGCTGCGGAAATGCGCTGCTCAAATACTCTCTATAATTTAGCTGATTTAGCTTATCGCCGGCTATCGCTCGAGTTATCGCTCTAAATGATTTCCACTTTTGTTTTATTATAAACTACAAGTAAAATGCCAAATTATGCGGCACATTCTCAAAAGGCAACAGGCGCAACGCCCACAACGGCATTTTTGTTAAAAGCTTGTGGCTCCAGGCAACGATTCATGGCCACAGCAGAAACTTGCCTGTAATTGTCAATTAGCAAGCTTTCAACAGCAGCCGCTGCCACAACAACACAGCGACTCACAGCTTCCACTTTATTTTGAGTATTTTTTTGTTTTTTATTTTGAGAGTTTTTCCAGTTTCCACAGTTCTTTTGTGGGAGCAGCAAGCTGCCTATTTGCATATGCCACGGAGTCAGTTGCCGTTGCTCACAGCTCGACAAACTTGACAAACTCGACAACGCGACAGCTCGACAACCCACGCAGCATTGACACATGGCTGTCATTGCCACTTGACTGACTGTCGACGCTGATTTTTGTGCCAGATAAGCGAATCGCTGCCGTTTTGGTAGCATAACGAAAATTACCCGACTACATATTATAATTAATATGAATTTATATTAGAATTATGAAATTATACGGTTGTGCTGATGCTTAACGACTCGTTCTGCTTAATCAACATGGGTGAGCTGTTCGATTTGGCCAAGAATTTACTTCATAGTTAATGATTTCATTTTGTATACCAATTTAAAATTACTTCCTATGAATTTTAGTTTGTGCCTATGCAAAGATCTTTTAATCTACTACGATTTATACTTAATATATTATATGTGTATGGTATGTCAAAATAAGTTGTTAATTCTGGCATCAATTTAACTATTTATTACAAGATATATTACTATTATTAGCATAAAATATATATGATATGGCGTTTGGTCGACTTAAGTGTGAAGATTTTTCTTTCATCAATATGCTTGAAATGCCAAAAATGTAAATATTAAATAGTATTTTTTAAAAATAAGTTTAACAAGAAACAAAGGTTATCTTAAGCACACCGAAGACTGTATAGCCTTGTAGACCGGAGTTAGTCTGCTGACACCTACATTTTAGTCCGTATTTGGATATAAAAAGCACTGGCTGTGAAGGATATCCTATGTACATATATATTTGTGTAGTTGTTTATAGTTCGTTTGTGTTGTATATATATATATGGCAGCTTTATGAAAGAGTGGTCCTTTTTGGACTATGCCACTGGCAGCCGCCAGTTAGTTTGTCGAATAGCTGCATATATATAGATGCCAGAGTCTTTTGAATGCTTCTGTGATAATGGCATACATTTTTAGCAAACTCTCTTCTTTAGTTGCGGGGGCAAATTTTCCCCACTGACATAAAAACGTTCAACTTTAAACGTTCAAAGTGGATCTCAGCCACTGTTGTAGAGAAAGTCTGAAACTTCTTCAATGTTTTGGTGCCAGCAAATGCTGAAGAAAACTCATCAAAAAAGTAGTTAGATCAAGCGTAAAGACACAGACACAGAAATGTGTGGCAGCAGTTTGAGCTCGAGCGAGCATTAAACATTGCCAATTTCACAGTAATCAGCAGCATGGCCAACAGAGCTTGGCCCAAACTCAACAAAGTGCGAGACAGTCAAAAAACAAAAACAAAAAAAAAAAAGAAGACAAAAAAAGTAGCAAATCGAACTAAGCTGTTTATGGCCACCCACATTGAGAGCAACGCTGTCAAAGAGCAGGCAAAGAAAATCTGTTGGCTTTCAGGTCAACATTGGTAGCAGCACTCGGCCACGCTAATCAAGCCCGAGCTAAAAGCTAATAGCTGAAAAGTTAAGAGCTCAAAATCTAAAAGCGAGAAACAACGACAACAAATCAAACGCTCACTGCAAATGGAAAGCACGAAAAATGGAAAACAATGAACAAACGAATGCTAATTAAAGCGATACTCAAATTGAAATGTTAAACTTTTGGGTAATACCCTGTAAGCTTATATATCTTACGAACCACACTCGACTAGCAGTTAGCATAACTAGAAATTCATTATAAATAAGTGCTTATAATTACTCAATGAATAAATTTCAATAACTAAAGTTATGCATTAAATCTTCCTCTTCTGACGTCAAGATGCAGATACTCTGATCATTATATTATTATAATATATATATACGATTTTAATATTGTCAAAGGAATTGGTTAATGGATTAAATAATCGATATCATCAACTGTTAATTTCTATTATTATTATTAATATTTTTTTGTATTATTTACGCTTAAGTGTCCCGAATTCATTATATTTTTAATCCATGTATCTGATATAATTTTCATGTATTATTTTTGGTATGTATAAGTTTTTTTTATGTA